AGGCCCTGGGTTCGATTCCTCAGCACCACATAAGCAAAAAGAAAAAAGCCGGAAGTGGCACTGTGGCTCAAGTGGTAGAGTGCTAGCCTCGAGCTAAAGAGCTGAGGGACAGTGCCCAGGCCCAGAGTTCAGGCCCAAGACCAGAACCCCCCCCCCCAAAAAAAATAAAAAGAAATAGAGCTAGTATGGTGCCAAATGTATCACAGATCCTTATTTCAGAGGGTCACTGGCTCTGCCAGAGACAAAGTAGTACAGTCTGTAAACAAGAAACCTCACAACCTCCTCTTTAAAAATTAAGTACTACGGTGTGCTTCTTTAAAGCCATTCTGTAATTCTAACATTAATTGATAACAGAGTGATGTCATTCTAGTTACATTTTTCCTCCTAAAAATATGTACTTTAATACAATCCCCTGATAGGAGTTTGAGGTGTAAGTTCTAGCTTTCCTCATTACTTAAGGTCTTAAGGAAATACCTAGGTTTTCTGAACTTCATTTTTCTGATCTGTTTCCTAATGTCTTCATCTCTGGAGTGTTCAGAAAATTATCAGTTAATAAATGTTTTCTTTTCACTCCTTGGATAAAGACAATGCCTTATGTTTTATTATATTGCCATCTTTCTGTACAGTCTTGATCAATACTGTAAACATCTTTGCATACCTATTTGTATTTCTGCTAATGCATACCATTTCATGATTTAATATCTTAAATTGTATGTCAAATTGCATTTATAGTAGTACCAAATTGATTTTGTAGCCACTATACAGGTTTCATTTTAGATTTAAATTATATATGATTAAGCTAAACTTACATAACAGAGTCTTCAAGTCCTTTCCTTCTCTTAAACATTTCTTTCAGAAATATTGGCTTTTATGCTTTTATTAAAGCAAGTAGGATACTTCACAGCACAGTCAACTTTTGATTATCATTCAGGATTCTAGCTATTAATTCAAATCTTGATGTTATTGATTTGATGCTTTTATGTGTGTGTGTGATAGACCAGGCACTGGCACTAACTTTTTTGCTCAAAATCTAGCACTCTTAACACTTGAGCCACAGCTTCACTTTTAGCTTTTTTGGTGCCTTATTGGAGATAAAGAGTCTTATAGACTTTGTTGCTTTGAACTGGAATCCTCAGATCTCAGTCTTCTGAGTAGCCAGGACTGGGAGATTTGTTACTGTTATAGCACTAACTATGTATCAGCCATTATCCTATTCACAAATGTTAATGAATTTAATCCTGACCACTACCCTTGGAAGTAGATACCCTTATTATCGTCCTACAGATGAGGAACTGAGATACAAAGAGGTTAAATAACTTGCTCAGTGTCCCACAGCTAGAAAATGGTGGAGCTGGAGCTGACAACCAGTAGCCTGATTTCAAGTCCATCTTCTTAATCCCTGTGCTGTCTGCTGTCTGTCCACATGGGAAGCTTGGAAAGTCTCACCCACCCTCAGTACTTCCAACATTCTGACAACTCAGTCAAGTAGCTATATTGATCATTGCCTGTCTTGGTGCAAGTCCTGGCTCCACTGTTTACTACCTATATGATGAGTTGTTTGCTCCTATTTCCTTATCTGCAAAAAGGGTTTAATAAGGTTCATACTTCATAGGGCTATTGAGGGATTAAATGAAATAATACATGTGTTCTTAAAATCATGGCTGTTATATAGGAGGCACACAATAAATGTTTCCTAATGCCATTGCCCTTCCATAGTTGAAAAAGATTCATAATTAAATGGAAACATTACTAATACCACTCTTTCTAGACAAGGCCCAGAAGAGGGTCTCTGTAAATAATCAAAAGTTGACTGTGACTCTCTCACTCCAACAGCTTCATTACCAGAAGCACTGGGTATTAATTCTGTGTTGTAATTCACACAGGCTATGGTCATTCAGACGCAGATGTTCTTCACCAGTCTCTACTGGAAGCCAACATTGCCACTGAGGTTTGCCTTACGGCTCTGGACACACTGTCTCTGTTTACACTGGCATTTAAGGTGTGTATTAAATACTTCATGGGTAGAGTTCTACCTGCTATATCCATTTGGCTTATTAAGCTAAACTAGCACAAATATATGACATTGTAGTTAGGATTTTTCTGGGAGGAGTGTTTCATTGTGATTTTTCACTTTAGCTTCTGTTTATGCTGCTGTAAGGAGACCATGAATTCTTAAGTTAATTTAATGAAACTTTTATAGTGGATGGCTTTAATCCCATGGAATAAAGCTTCATTAGCCTACATATGCTGAGTATTTGGCAATAGAGGAAACAGTGCTGGAGGCAGTTAACATTTGGCTAGAAGATAGCACTTGCCCTAACCCCTTGAGATGAAACATGGGAACCTAACCAGCCATTTCTGCCTTGACTATCTCTAAACATGTCTAAATAATATAGCAGTTAAAATTAGGTATTTATAGAGTACAGAACAGTCAGTTACAAACCCATTCAGCTTTTTCAGATGTTTTGTTATTGTGATAAGTGTTTCTGGAATTAAAAAAAAAATGAGGTCTTTGTGTATATGTGTGTTCTTAAATTTTAGAAATATATAAGTAATTGGAGATGAGTACTTCAAGCCACTATCTTGGTATTAGGAACCTAACACTTCTCATTCTTGCATAATGATTACTTCCATTCTGGCATAGAAAGGGGAAATTGAGTTAGTGTTAATATGCTATGAATATTAAAAACAATATGTTTCATTGCATGGGTATTTAGGGTAACCAAAGTCATTCTCTGTTTAACTTGTCCCAACTACTTATAAAGCACATTGCTTTACTGGGGACAGTAAAACAAACTATATCACCAAACTTATATCACCAGGTTTTAATACTGTTTTATTCCCCTTAGCAGCCCTGTTGTTCATGTCTCCCATAAAATGTTACTAGGAACCTTATTTGAAAGATTACAGACCCTCATGGGATAAGTCTGGGAAGTAGTAGTCTCTCCTAGTCACTCTCCAAGAGTGGTCTCCAGGTTGGCAATAGTTACCACCCCTGGCAACACGTTAGAAATTCAAATTCTCAGGCCCCAGTCCAGACCTCCTGAATCAGAAACTCCAGATGTAAGACCTAAATCCTACAGCTTGAGAACCTCGGCTCTTTTAGAATCATGAAAAAGATTGTGGAATGTCTTTCTGTTTTTCTTTTGGATAATTTTTCATGTCAAAGTCTATGTACAGAGACCACGAAGATTCTGAATATGAATAATTGGTATGCACACATGCCTCAGTACTAAGCATGGATCCTTTAGTCCAGAACAACAGTGGCAACATGCCCTTCACTCTGGCTGGGGCCACTGTTTTAATATATTCATGACTTAAAGGGGTGTATTTCATAAACTGAAGTAGTTGCATGCAGGAAAGTATGGTTTTTCTTGTGGCTCTCCTTTGGTGTCTGTTAACACAATCCCAAACTTATGTGAACCTTTCAATATTTAATGTGTTCAAAAATTTAATATGAAATGAAGTGAATTTAATCTGAAAATGTATTTTTAGCAATTCTATTTAAAGCCTTTTTAAAATTTGAACTGTGCCATAATTGCTAATACATAACCATTAGGAGTAAGTAGAACTAAAAGAGCAGGGCACACATAGATAACAGTAGTCTCCATGAGGGGTTTGTGATTGATCTATTTTAACATCCAGCCTAATATGCACAGATAACATGAGACATAGGTCGTAGTTCATAGCCATTGCTAGGAAAACAAATGTGTTATGAAAAGTAAGGTTTCTAAACTATGACTCCTAGGAAAAATAGTGTTCACACCAAAACATGTAAGTGATGAATATAATTGTGTATGTGTGTGTGTGAATACAGCTTCTCATAGTTGAGAATTATATCACACTCATATAATTAGTCAAATTTAATTAGTAAGTTTTCTCTTTAAATTGTTCTGTTTTCATATGATATGACAATATAGTGCCTCAGTACTTAATAAAAGATCACTGAATTCCTGGTATTTTATCATCTGTGATACATCTGTCCTGACTGAACCTCAAATATATTTTTTTTCTTGAGTCAGATTTTCCTTCCAAATAAGATGAAGTAAATCTTGCTTTGAAATGTGACTTTGGCCATAATTTGCTATATAGCAAAATCATTTAGCCATAATCTGCCTCTGTTTTATTTGGCCATATTGTGTGATTGGTTTGAAATAATCTCTTGAGATTTTTTTATTAACCATCATTTGGGGAGGAGGAGACAGTACTAAGGCTTAAACTCGGATATTTAACCTTGCGAGTCAAGCTCTTTGTCACTTGCTTCCAGCTTCATCATTGCAGTCATTTTTACCTATTTGTGCAGCATGCGTGCACATCTTTCCAAAAACACACACCTTTGTTCAGACCACCTTGTCATATATTTAAAGCACCATATGTATTTGTACACAATACTCCAGGCTGACTTTTTACTGGTATGAACCTGTAGCTGCACTGTATATTTAGCCATGATGGGAGCTTTAACTAACCAATGTTCTAGAATGCTGAATTAGTGTGAGTATTCTGCTGTGGTGAAGAAATTTTGAAGAATTGTTGAAAACAATTGATGACAGTCCTCTTGCTTGATAAATCCATGAAACATTACGAACCTACTAGCTGCCTCTAACTGAACTAAACCACAATTTCTACTCGTTTACAGTAATTGTGCAGAGTCACTTTTAGAGTTACTGTTTTACAGAGAGAATACTCAGGATAAATTCTGTACATGCTCTACTTTACCAAATTGTCTGATTATTGAATGTTTAGCAGAATGCCTGAGAAACCTCATTAGGGAGGGACTTCACTTTTAGTGGACCTTATTCATGTTCCTTACTTTATAGTCTCCTCCTACTACATACATCTCATAGTTAGCCAATTTCTGTAATACCACTCCTCTGTTGGAATAAGGTCTCACAAAAATCACCTCTGTACCAGTTGCTGATGTATAGTAAAAAGAAGGAAATCAGTAGAAGCCAAATTAATACTAAGCAACAATGTTTCTGGAAACTGTAATATAATTTTCGGAGAGATTTATCCTCAAAGCATAAATGTACTAATGATTTATTTTGTTCTACTAGGGCTTTTTGCGCTTTCCTTGAGGACTTGTAGTAGAATTTGTTTAAATTATAAGGGTTTTTTAATGCTTGAAATATGTAATCGTTGGGCCTAAAAGTGGTAGAGAATCTTCTAGAAATGTCAGGCATGCTAATGATATTGTTAATGTGTGTTTTAAGAACCAGTTGTTGGCTGATCATGGACACAACCCTCTCATGAAAAAAGTTTTTGATGTCTACTTGTGCTTTCTTCAAAAACATCAATCTGAAACAGCTTTAAAAAATGTCTTCACTGCCTTAAGATCATTAATTTATAAGGTAAGCTGCTTCATTAGTGATGGTCCTACCTGGCAGTCATACTTTTTCCTCCTTCTAGTCAGAGTTGAGGGAGCATCAATGAGCACTAACCTTGCTGCACTGTGTATACCTTATGTTCCATCTAGTTTCCCTCGACCTTCTATGAAGGGAGAGCAGACATGTGTGCCGCTCTGTGCTATGAGATTCTCAAGTGCTGTAACTCCAAACTGAGCTCCATCCGAACTGAGGCTTCCCAGCTGCTCTACTTCTTGATGAGGAACAACTTCGACTATACTGGGAAGAAGTCCTTTGTCCGGACACACTTACAAGTGCGTGTGATTTAACTTGGCAGTACAAACTCAGCTGGTACAATCCTGTTTTAGCAAGAAAACTGAGTATAATATTTACTGGTTTAGCTCATTATAAATATATTGTAAAATCTGGCCTGAGGTGGAAAATTTAGAAGTCAAATTTCCTGGCTTGATTTGCTTCATGTCCCTTACTATCAGACTCTTGCCTAGAATATATTCTATTTGTAACTTGGTGTTTAAATATAGAATAAATATTGAACTAGCTGAAATTCCATTGAAGCAAGAAATAGTAGAATCTATGTGAGGTAACCAACTTAGGTAAGAAACAAGACCAAAGGAGTTCTTTTCTGTCTTCTCTTTCTGAACACATTTGCTGTCTCTTCAGAGTTTTTTCATTTAGATGTTTTACATGTTTTTTAGCATCTAAATTCTCTGAGTTGAGAACCAGCCACAGTAATGATAAGTCTTATGTACTTTTGTAGATGTTTTATATACAGACATATAGTAGGAGTCCCTTCACTATCTCTTTATTTGTTCCTTTTCTGAAGCAGTATTTATTGTCCACATACTACATGCTAGGATTCATGAACAGAACAGCCTCTTGACCTTTATGGAATATAGTTAGATAGATGTCCCAGACAAATCCGGAAAGCCCTTGCAATAGTATGGTCAGTGCTCCCATGAGGACTGTGGATACACGAGGAGTGACTGACTGGGGATTATGGATACCAGAGGAGCCTTCCCAGAGGACCTGAAGAATGTAGAGGGGTAGCATTGAAGAGAATGGTAGTTCCCATATGGGAAGCTGGAAAAGTTCTTTAATGTAGAGTTTGAAACACAAATGACACATACGGACACATTTTTACACATCTAAATCTTTGCATATTTGGAGGAATTTCCTGGACTGTTAAGAACAGATCATGGGAATCTAGACCAGAACTAGAGAAGATATTATCAAATCTAGGACAGAAAGGAGGTTGTCCTAAATGAGAAATAATGAGTTTGGAAAGAAGAAAGGATTGTGTTGATAATACTTACTGACTGAAATAGGAGGAAGTAAGAAATGGAAAGAAAAAGAAGAAGTAAGGATGGCCTCCATCTTTGTGTGGAAGCAGTTAGGTCAGGATAGTAGTCAGAGTGAAAGGTAGATGTCCCCATTTCACAGTTAATGAATACACATTCTGATGAAAAAATGCAAAGGATTGTTCACCTATTGAATATTTAATATATATAAGCTCAAAATAAAAACTGAGAAAGTAAATAATGTTTGTTTTTATTACAAAAAGTAAGTATCCAGGAGATAGGAGCTATCTATTTCTACATTCTTCTATAGTTCCTTTATTAGCATTTTGTTTTGCAAACAAATTTCATCAGTAAGGCAAAATCATGTTCTAGAATAATTTTATGAAAGTCATAAAAAGACATAGACATTGTTTCCTACCCTGGAATAATCACAGCCCTAAACATCTCAGTTTTGCTCTGGCCTTATATTCATCCTGGGCACAGAATCATCTTAAGGTAGATTGATTTGTCCACATTTCTGTGTCCCTAAGGTCATCATTTCTGTCAGTCAGCTGATTGCAGATGTTGTTGGCATTGGGGGAACCAGATTCCAGCAGTCCTTGTCCATCATCAACAACTGTGCCAACAGTGACAGACTTATCAAGGTAAGCAACCCAGACTCTATTTAACATTCACCTTCAAGACTCTATCTTAACATGTACCAGGATGAAAGCCACATGTCCTTTCTCTCTCACCCTTCATGTAGCACACCAGTTTCTCCTCTGATGTGAAAGACTTGACCAAGAGGATCCGCACAGTCCTGATGGCCACAGCCCAGATGAAGGAACATGAAAATGACCCAGAGATGCTGGTAGACTTGCAGTACAGTCTGGCTAAGTCCTATGCCAGCACTCCTGAACTCAGGAAGACGTGGCTTGACAGCATGGCCAGGATCCATGTCAAAAATGGGGATCTCTCAGAAGTAGGTGGCTCTGCCAATTTATCCAGGCCTTAGAGAAAACCATTTATGCCCTATTTGTTCACAGAAGACAGTACTGAGAAAAAATGTGCCATTAATCAAAGGAAACTGTGTGGTACCTTAGTACATAATTTAATCTTAATGCTCGGCTCAGGGTGACTTCATAGTTTTATCTGAGAAAACGATAAAGGATATCTCTGTGTAGTCATATAGTTAACTATTAATTAAAGTATACTCCATTTCTACATCAAAATATGTTATATTTCTAAATTTCAGCTATTTTTATGAGTATTTTTTCTGTCATTAAGAAATGATAAGGATCACTGTCTCCTTGTGTGGATGTAGAAGATATTGAAGCATTCCCTCTGTACTTTTCAATCTGTAGGACATGGCTGAAAGTTGGATGTGGACCCTTGAGATAGACTGAATCCAAGATTTGACATTTCCCAACTCTGAGCCATTTTTTTAAACCCTTTATTTTTTGTTGACATCCTATGTAAAATGAGAAATTAAGGAAAGCTATGGACTATCTGCAGGTTCTACGTTTCCATGAGAATACTATTCAGGATTTGCTCCTAAGACATTTGGGTATGACCAGCAGTGATACTAAAGCAAGCATGCTGTGACTTTGAAATTTCTATTACCATTTCACTTACGATTGTACTCTAAAACTAAAAATTTTTATGTAACTTTTCATTATTCAAGAAGTCTACTGTGCCAAAAGATACATTGTTTTATGATAAATTTAACATAAACTAACATAATGATCATGATGAAAAGAAATTAGAAGTAGTCATAGTAATAGTAGTAATTTTTCTTAATTCTCAGAATTTAAGCCGAAAGCTTTTAAGTTTGATGTGTGTGACTAAGTATCTTTAAAAAGAAAGGAATTCACTGAGCTTCACTTGTATTAGCTCCTTGGGTTACCCTCATAAAGTAACATAAACTGAGTGACTTAAAGCAACCAATGTTTATATTCTCACAGTCTGGAGGCTAGAGTCCAAGATCAAGGGGTCAATAGGGCCCCCTGAGAATCTGTTCCTTGCCTTTCTCCTAGCTCCTCCTGTGGCTGCCATTCCTTGATGTTCATTGACTTGTGGACATACCATTCTGCCACCACTGTCATAGGTCATACTCCCATGTGTTTGTATTTCTGGTTCTTCTCTTTTTATGGCATATATTAAGTTTAGGGACCACCCAATACTAGTATGACCTCATTTTAACTAGTTACACTTATAACAACTCTATTTGCAAATAGCCCACAGTTGAGATCCCAAAACAGTGATGAATTTTGGGGAGACACTGTCCAATCTAGTATACTATATAAGATACTAATGGGTGTCTGGTTTTGTGTACTTGCTCAATAAACTCTTGCATTCCTGGTCTTGCTGTGCACTGTAGGATGAGCTAAACCATGAGTGCCACCTCTTATGATTAGCCAGTGTAATAAATCAACTCCCTAACATAATTTCCTTCAGGTTTTAGACATAATCTGTACCTACTAAGCTGCTAATGCTGTTAGCTCACATGCACATCATGTGGAAGGTGTATGTTGGCTAGATAAGGATACCACATAGTGATGGCCAAGCAACTAATGAGGTCTGGACCTCATGAATCTTACCTTATTGTTGGCTTTATTTCCAAGAATTGTCTTTGATTTTTAGGACAACATGGCAACTTATTGTAATTTTTTTTTCATTTTTAAGATACCTATTATTGAATTTAGTTGTTGGTTGGTTGGTTGGTTTTGGTTTTGGGAATTGAACCAAGGGCATGCTAAGTACAGATTGTAATACAGAGCTACACTCACAGCCCAGAATTTTTATTTAGAATTATGTATTTGGAAAAATAAATAACAACCTGGCCTTTTTTAAGTTGGGAGAAAATATATTAACACTTGAAATTTTAATTATTCTCTCAGAATTCAGGAGGAAGCACACTTTTTCTTCAAATAGTTTTCCTTTTGCTTCAAGGGAAATGATACCAAAGCCTTTTGTAGAGTAAGAAAAAATGCTGTTTTTGTCTTTTGCATTAAAATGTAACCGTTATAAATAGAAACAAAGTGTAGCAAATTTACCATTTGTTTCACCTCTCAATTTCAAAATTTCAGTTTATGTGAATGACTCTACTGTTTTTGAAGATACATATTAGCTATCTAATTGCTAGTTGGTGCCTGGGGATCTAATAAAAGCACATACCTTTGTTACATATGCTATTATAAATTATGTTTCTAAGACATCTTTTTATTATAGGCAGCAATGTGCTATGTCCACGTGACAGCCTTAGTGGCAGAATATCTCACACGAAAAGGTAAGGAATGATTCCTATGTTTTGTGACATGAACATGAAGCTGTACAAATCATCAAAAACAACTGAGAGCCATGTAGGCAGATTTGGAGAGAGAGAGAGAGAGAGTGTGTGTGTGTTTGTGTGTGTGTGTGTGTGTGTGTGTGTGTGTGTGTGTGTGTAACATGTTCATTATTTAATTCTCTGACATGACATTTACTTGACTTGGTGGGCACAGTGGGTATGTATTAAGGAGAAAAGTAGAGGGTATGTTATAAAACCTCTCACTGATGATGCCATTCTGCAAACGAAAACAGTTAATGAGCTTTGTCTCTATCTATCCCTGACTGGTCAATTTAGAGCTAAAGATTTCTTTTCCCTTATGATAATAATCACTGGAACTGTTTATCAGTCAAAAGACAGTTGTAACAGGAAGTTATCAGACAGATTTCCTGGAACATAGCCCAGTTGGCTTTCTTGTGTGAGAAGACTACCATACTGCCTAGGGGAAAGTCAGGGGCAAGTGATATAATACATTTGTGCATAATACATTTGTTCTCAGAGCAGCAGCCTGGAATTCTTTTATGATTCCTTCAGGCTAAACACCAGTTTCTCATTTCCACTTCCAAATCAGGATAGCACCAAAGAGTGGCATTTGGTTTGAAATACTGAGATTCTTGGAGAAGCTGGTAGTCTATACATTGAAACACCAGACAACAGTAGCACCAGATCTGGGCTACTGAGGTGTATATTTACAAAGTGAGAAGCATTATAAAGTTACAAGTGCCAATACTATGAAATGCCTATTTCTAGTACAGCTGGCTATTTTAAATGGAATTTAAGGGAACCTGGGTTTGTCATACATCAAAGCCAGAGTGAAAAACCAAAGAAGGACTCCTATTCCTTTATTATTTCCTGCTAAGGCCTTTTATCCTCATGTTTAGAAGCTGAACTAGCTCTCCGGCAGGAGCCACCCCTGTTCCCCTACAGCCATAGCACCTGCCAGAGGAGGAGCCGGGGAGGTGAGCTTGAAGGTCACCCAGCTCCCAAGGATCTCCAGCTACTCTGCTCACATGCCATTTGGTGCTGTGGGAGTTTTCTATTTCAATTCTGCATCAACAGACTTCATGCTTCTTCTTTCCCTTTTTTCCTGGAATCTGCTGGAATCTGCTTCTATGGGCAATGAGAAGAAACCACTTAGGCCATTTTGATTGTTCCATTGGAGTGGCATGTTACATTTAAATGTACTCTGCAACCTACTCCATTGGTGGTTGGCTTTTGCAACTTTATGTTGGGTGTGTTGAAGTATCTTCAAGTTTCTAGACAATTGGTTTTCACTGGGAGCCTTTGGTTTCTGTATAACCAAATCAAAGTAAGACTGCACTAGGATTGTGTTGGATGCTAGATTATCTGGGAGTGGCTAGAAATTTGAATTTCCCTGCAACAGATAAGACCAAGTTCTACTTTCTCAAGGCTTGATTGTTAAATGCTCTTTATTCCTCATTTTCTTGAAATATGTGAAGTGCTGATTCAAGTTTTGACTTTACTTTTGGTTTGTTTGGCTGAGCTTTTTTGTTTTTGCTTTTAAGGGTTTTGTTTTTTTAACTTGCTTATTTGTTTGTGTTTTGTAGTGCTGGGTAATTGAACCCAAGGCCTTACAGACATACCACAATGTCTAGCTCTGTTCACTTCCTTGTGAACAGCCATCACAAAATAGAATTGTACAACATTTTAATTCTTTACTCACTTAACATGTCACATAGACATAGTCCATCTAGCTTAAAACTTTTCCAGTGACTTCAACACAAAGAAAGATTCTAGTTGGGCTGTTATTGCAAAAAAAATCTGATTAGCCAGATGATAGTGGCTCACACCTATCATCCTAGCTACTCAGGAGGCTGAGATCTGAGGAGTGTGGTTCAGAGCCAGCCCAGGTAGGAAAGTCCATGAGACTCTGATCTCCAATAAACTACCAGAAAACCAGAAGTGGCACTGTGGCTCAAGTGGTAGAGCTCTTGCCTTGAGCTGAAGAGCTTAGGGACAGTGCCCAGGCCCAGAGTTCAAGCTCCACACCAACCAAAAAAAAAAAAAAAGAATCTATGATTATCCTAGACATCAATCCTATCTCCAACCTTACATCTTTTTCCTTTGGTGGATTCTGATATGTAGACGAGGAAGTGTTCATACTCTCTATTTCTCCTTACCCCCAGATAGTTGTGTGGAAACTAACTAAGCCCCTTCACATACATACACACTATTCTGCTCACAAATATAGCTGTTGCATTTTATCTCAGTTGTACAGGCTACATCAGGAAGAGTGTTCCCATCAGAACTGGGGATTATTCTCAGCCTGAGTTGGTAAAATGACCAACTACTTGAAGGAAATAGAGTTGATTTTGAGTCATATATCTCTTTCATTAGCTTTAGCTGCTTTGTTTTTCTTGGTATCTGAGCAGGGATCATTATACCAAATCAATTTTTTTACTTCCCATTATTTTACTATTAACTTGATTCAAAGACTATTTCTCAATATATAGTTTACTGAAAGATTGAATGTTTTAATAAATGTGGGTGATAATTGAAAATGTGTTGAGAAAGACAGAGAAGGAGGTGAGGGTTAATTATAAGGATTTGAATAAAGAAAGCACATGGTGGCCCCTAGCCTCCCATGGGGATTCTGGTTGACAAAGGAGATTTCAATATTAGAGCAGGAAGAATCCTGAGATTCTGCTATACTCAGGTCACCAGCTCCTTTTCCTCTGCTCTCTCACCTTGTAGGCATGTTTAGACAAGGGTGCACAGCCTTCCGGGTCATTACCCCAAACATCGATGAGGAGGCCTCCATGATGGAAGATGTCGGGATGCAGGATGTTCACTTTAATGAGGTGAGTGCTAGAGCTCAAGTAGGTGTTCAAGGGCACGTGTGCACAACATAATGACATTTCAGTCAACAGTAGACTACATACACAGCAATGTTCTCACAGAAGTGTATCACCTTGTGATGTCATAGCTATCTTAGTATATGTTCTCCCCATGATGTTCACAAAATAACAAAATGACCTAGGGATGAACTAACACAGTGTTAAGTGACTGTAATCAGGTATGTTGGGGTCTGACAGCTCTGCCAGTATGTCACCTCAGGGATTTCATCTCCATAATCACTGCCTCTACTCAGAGCCCTAAGTTAGATGATTCTTCAGACCACTGAAACACAGCAGCTGAAGTTCTACCATTCCCCTTCTTGGCAGTCCCTTCTTCTCTGGAGAGAGGGCCTTAAGGGACCAGTTTATAATACAGTGATTCAGCACTTGTAGGAAAAGATCTGAAAAATCTACCATAAGTTTCTTAGTCTTTCTAACATTTTTTCTGATGTCTGAGTTTTACTGCTATTTTAATTTGACTTTAGCTTTAATTAGTATCTCCAACTCTAGACATCTCCAGCATCAGACAGTCAAAGCTCTAAGAGGCCACACTGGACTCATGGCCAGAACAGCTGTCAGGAACAAGCACCTGGCTCTGCATGGGTCCTGAGCCCCTGAGTCTCCAGGAAGCATGACCAACCTAGTCTACTGTCATGGAGAATAGAGAGCTTGATATTTCCTTGGCTGTTAAGAGTAACCATGAGCAAACATCTCCCATGGTATGAACTAGTCCTATGAACTGGATTTATCACTTGATTCTCAAAGTGTGGTCCTGGAACCCTGTCAGGAAGCCTTGGAGACCTTTACTCTTCCCTGGAGGTCTGTGAAGATGCATTCTCTAAATGTGTCAACCCCAGCAACACATTAGGCAGGCTGTGGCAGGAGCTAAGAAAACCCCAGTTTTTCCTACAAAGTCAGACATTAACATGAGTGGCAACAAATGAAAGTTACTCTTTTCTCTTTTTCTCTCTATGTCAGAAATACCCTTTTCTTGTAGTAAAGTAATATTCTTGTTGACAATAGTACAGGCTTCTATTGATTAACAAGTTAACTTAGTTTTTATTTCTAATGTTGTAAATATTGAAACATAAACAAAGATTCTTTGGAGTCGTTAGTAAATTTGAAGATAAATAAGGTGATTTTAAGTTCCAGTTGTTTAAGAACCACTGCTATAAATTGTCTAGTCTCAAATGACCCTTGAAACTAAAAACTAAATGTGAAAGGGATGGGAAGGTTAACAAAGGAGGAGGCTGCAGTGCTTGGTAAGAAATGTACGCATTATCCTGCCCATGCAATTGTAACCCCTCTGTACAGTATGTTCACAAATAAAATAAAATAAAATTTAAAAAAAATTGTCTAGTCTCAAATGACCCTTGAAACTAAAAACTAAATGTGAAAGGGATGGGAAGGGGAAACAAAGGAGGAGGCAACAATCTTGATAAGAAATGTATCATTATCTTGCCCGTGTAATTGTAACCCCTCTATACTGTATTTTCACAATAAAAAAAAAAACTAAATGTGAAAAAGGAGGATACTGTTTCAGAAGTTTAAATGTTAAAATAAGCTTAGCCACCCTAAATAAAGTTTTCTAATTATTGTAATTAGAAAGCAAGAACATTGGTTATTCCATGGCAAAAATAGCTCTTCTGTCTTCTCACTTTGAAGTGCCTGGGTAGACAGTAACAGTTTTACTTTTTTTAACTCTCCATTTTGAAACCTATCACTGAGGGAGACAAGGCCCATATACTGTTGACTTGGAGCTCCTCCCTTCAAGGCGAAGTTTGATTGGAGCGTCTCTCTGAGAAGAGGTGTGACTATAATGTCTGCTTTGGGGAACCATTCTTGTACCTGCTATCTACTCAGACCTCTGGAGTACAACATTTTGTTTGCAATTAGATAAAGAAACTAACAATGCCAAGAGCAATTAAAGATTTGAAAGTAAACATTTTCCAGTAACTTATCCTACAGGGATGATAAAATGAAACCTATATGCTTATCTGCTAAAGTAGTTATAAGAACTTAATGAATTAGCCTGTGAAGCCAAATTAAGATGTTGTTGGGGAAACTTATGGGTGACACCCCTTTGGGGTAAAACTAAGCATTTGATGAGGACCACTTTGTCAGCTATTTCAGAATATGGATTTGTCATCCTGTCCTTAAATCATAAAGTTGGTAAATCTTTAACAAAGTCCATGGTACATGACAATCTGTAGTGGTTAGGATATGGACATCACAGTTATAAAGTTCAGCACAAACCCTGCACATCAAGATTGAGAGCAAGGGGAGGGGAAAGAAGAACATATTCTAAAAGTTGAGAAAATAGAAACTGTCAAGTACATTTGCATATTGCTACCCAGATGTCTCAAGAAAAAGAACAATATGAAAATCTCTGCCAGAGAGAAAGGAGTTTGAGAAACGCCTGATAGGAAATAAGTGTGTGACACAGTATAATTATCATTGCCAATTTTAATCTGCATTCATAAATATAATTAAATGTCGTAAGTGGTCTCCTAAACTGATTTTTCAGGGGAGCTACCTAAAAATATACAATGTCTTAGCAGCAGGCATCCAGTAAGTTTTCATTGGTATCTTCATTCTCTGACTGATCCAAAGATTGACTCCCTCCCAGACATTTTTGATTAGATAAAAAGAAGCATCCAATTCATATTTTACAATCTGGAATTGTGCAGATTAAAATTTAAGCTCCCTAAAGTGCTCAATTTCTACAGGGCCCAAGTAGAAATAAATAATAATAAATCCCTTCTCTTAACTAATGACAAGCAGACCTGGCCGGACCTGGATGGCACATTTACTAAAGTAAAGAAAGTCTTATAGAGAGACAATTTTTAAATTTTCAGAGAGCATTTAGGAAAACCAATAAGGAAAGTTGCAGTATCACTTAAGTTAGTAACAGCTGGGTCCCTCCCCCTTATCTGAGAGAGCAAAGCGGGGTGGAAAATACATAGAGGTGCCACCTTACAGGACTTGTAGGCTGTACTAGAGATCTTATACTGGCACAGAGGAAAGGCATGAGAAGCTACCACCCTCACCTTCCCCTGCTCTACAGTCTCTTGGTAGGCCTGCCATTGGCCCAACTCAGCCATATGGTCTGCTGACTTTTTTTGTAAGCCCAAATCAGTTCTCTTGGCACTCTGACTTCGTGTTTCAATCTTTTTTTTTTTTTTTTTTGGTCTGTCGTCGAACTCTGGGCCTGGGCGCCGTCCCTCAGCTCTTCAGCTCAAGGCTAGTGCTATACCACTTGAGCCACAGCACCACTGCTGGTTTTTGAGTGGTTTATTGGAGATAAGAGTCTCATGGACTTTCCTGCCCGGGCTGGCTTGGAACGCGATCCTCAGATCTCAGCCTCCTGAATAGCTAGGATTACAGGCATGAGCCACCAGCACCCGTCTTGTTTCAATCTTACACTGTCAACAGGTATTCCTTTTGGGGTCCATTTAGTTCTGTTTTTTACATTTTCATGGTTATGGTTTTTAGTTGGTGATTTTGCAGTTTAAAATGGCCCCAGTGTACTGCTAAAGTACTGCCTAAGAACCTAAGTAACATTACATGTGATATTTTATCACATTATTCTATAATCTTTATCATGCATGAGTGCTAGTGGATTGGGCATGAATTTAGTGTTAACAGTACAGGTTATATTAGGTGACTTTACACAGATATATACAAAACAAAACTATATATGGATTGGTTGGTGAAAATGTTGTAACCAGAGGCTTACACAAGGAACCTTAATGCTCTTTCCTAGGAAATGGGCCAGTGCTCACTTAGCAGTCTTCATGGTAACTCTATAGAATGGAGCCTTTCCTAAGATGAAGACAATTGACTATGTAGCCTGCTAGCTGTTGTTTTATAAAGCAACAAGTCTCACTTGCAGTTACCATTGAGTATACTTACTGTTATATGAACTTAACTCTGCAAGTCTCTGAATTCTGTGAGCCAATTGTTTCTGTTCAGAAACAACTGCCAGTAACAAACACAAAAAAGTTACATCAATAGGATATCTCAGAAATCAAAAGATCCTTTCAGTGTTCACTGTTTACGACCCATCTAGGTTTGGTGATATAACCCTACAGAGCTACTTAACCATCGACTTTTCCTTGACTAAGAGTGCTCAAAAGAACCATGAGCCAGTGGCTCGTGCTTGTAATCCTAGCTACTCGGGAGGCTGAAATCTGAGGATCGTGGTTCAAAGCCATCCCAGGCAGGAAAGTACATGATACTATTATTCCAATTAACCACCAGAAAACTAGAAATGGTGCTGTGGCTTAAAGCGTTAAGCACTGCCTTGAGCAAAAAAAGCTTAGGAATAGTGCCAAAGGCCTGGTTCTAGCCCCATAACTAACAACAACAACAAACTATATAACTTGAGTTAGTGTTTCCTCACTAGTAGGAGATTTTCCCAACAATGATAGTAGTGAATAAGGAACTTGAGAAACTATTCTACTTTTGCCTGATACCAGAACTTGTTGCCCTGCTTCATGTTGAAATACATACAGGGACTGCTTGGGCACTGGACCAGGTGCTGGGGATAAAAGGGTGAGCAAGACAGAATCCTTGCCAGAACTTCAGATGCTTTCTTTCCATTGAGAAGAGACAGTCCCTATGAATACAAATTCAAAGTTATCTGAATTCTTTTGTCCTAGACATTTCTAATTTGACATGTTGATTCATCCCACAGACTGCCTATGGTGACTTGTACTATCACAGGGTTTATGAGTGAGGAGCTTGCCCTCCTATGTTAGTCTCATTAGGAATTACTTACATTCCTATTATAAATAGATGATTCTCTTTCTTGTCCTTCATATCTTGATTCCATTGGATGGGTATACAGCTCAGGAATCAGCACTTTAAGAAGCATCCCACGTGATTATTCTGATGACAATTGTGAGATGTTTCTTCAGAAACAGTGTTATCATAGAAGTGTTATAAAAATGTGAGTTATACTGCACCTGTACAATCAGGTGCCACTGCCCAAAGAAGATCATAGATTTAATTATTACCAAATGCAAGGCAAGCGCACGGTAAAGACAGCATCTAGCTTTATAGGTAAGGTTAATTAAGTCAAATTAATCCTAAGATGGAGTGAAGGATATCTAAATGAAAATATTTAAAATACCTTGCACAAGTACATTCTCATACTGTCATTTTTGTGCTCGTGTGTATACACACATGCACACACACAACACACAGCATTCATGTACTACTTCCACAGACAGATGCTCAGTGCCCTTAATTGCATCAACATGACACCCTTGAAAAGAGAACTGCCTAATTACGTTTTTAAAAGCTTCCTCAATGGCTTCTGACCTTGGTGCACTGAAATCTTTAGGTCTAGTCTAATATAAAATGTGAATTTTCTGGATGCATAGAGTTCATTAGCCACCACCTCCCCAACAAGTTCCTTTCTTATGTCAACAATTTAGGGGGAAAACAATGCCTTTGTGCTTAAACAAGCAAGGTGATAAAACCATTAGGCATCTGGATGTCTACCTTTCAAGGTTATCACTCAGACCACTTTCTGGATTGGTTCCCAGATATAGTGACTTCTGAGAATTTAAATATGCAGAATTTGTACTGAGAATACACACACACATGTACACACAAACACATACACACACATATACTCCAATGTTTAGTTATATATTTCAGTCTTTATGGCTTAATTATAATTAGACATATTATCTCCTATTTGTAATTACTGCCTATTATTTCTATTCAAAGAATTGTTACTCAATACATATCCACTGTAAATGTCCATTTATAGAGTTTATATTACCTTGAATATTTATCTTACCAAAGTTTGCTTTGAGGCAATTATCCACACTCTATTTTTATGAGGAAAGGATTTAGGAGATGTGTATACATACATAAACACACACACACACACACACACACATCCATCCATCCCATTCTTGGGAAATGTGTACGAATATATACTATACTAATTGCCTTTTATAGTATGTATTATCATTTATTTATAATAGTAGGTGGTGTTTTAATGCCTAGAAAAGAAGATAAATTCATGTTTAATAAAGTATAAAAGTTGTTGATATGCTATCCCCTCATTCTCAATAACTATTAAGAATTGTTTTGCTAGGTACCCAGGGCTCATACCTGTTCCTGCCAGCCCAGGCAAAATAGTCCAGGAGAGTCTTATTTCCAATTAGCCACCAAAAAAACAACAACAACAACAGAAGTGGAGCTGTGGCTAAAGTGGTAGAACACTAGCCTTGAGCAAAAAAGCTCAGGGACAGTGCCTAGGTCCTGACTTCAAGTCCCAGGACTAGTACCAAAATAATAATAATAATAATTTCTTTTGGTGATATTCTTTATTCATAATGTTTACTGCTGTTTGCTTTATCGCATTTTCCCAACCATTCTGGGGAATCTCTCTTGTTTGATATCCATTTTTCATAGCAAACATAACAGATTTCTCAATAATGAGTTCATCTATCTGTGATCATACATAAATATATGTTATAGAATCATACATACTACTTGAATCCAGGTCTCACTGTTACTAAGCCTCCCACCAGTCTGTGTTGAATAAATTAGGAAAAAGAAATATTCAAGATAGTATTCACCAGTTAGAAACATTTGACTCTGGAGAGTACCCATAGAGTCTACTGAGTATGTATTTATGAAGGAACAAAATCTATTTAAAATGTACCTGAAAAATTGTTGCACAGATACCTTGATAGACAACCATTTTAAAGTAAGTAACATGGTCCTTGTCTATTGTGATAACTGATATATGTCTAAATGTGTGTTTGGGTCTCAAAATTATCTTCATTGTTTGGGGTTTTTTGGGGTTTTTTTTTTTGGTCAGTCGTGGGGCTTGAACTCTTCTTCATTTAATTTTTATTTTACATAGAGAGCTTCAAGTATGCGAGTTTGGTTTGTTATTTCTTCCCACTCCCCCAGCCTCCTGTCTTTCTACTCTCTGATTCATATTTTATCCTCTACCCCATCGAAGTCCTCAGATACAATACTGTCTTCATTCCCAAGCCTTCAGTGGAGCTATTTCCTCTCTGCTCCCATCATCACCTTCCTCTCTTTGTCTCTCTTGAGTCACCCTTTAAAACTCAATCATCACTTTCTATACCTCCCCTATCATCTTTAGATGGGTACATTCTTCTCTGCATTCCTGACTCCTTGCAATTTCTTATCAGTACACTTATTCTTTATAGACCCATCTCCTACTCTAGACTCTGATCTCTGTGAGAGCAGAGGAGTTAGCTTCCTCATTACCAACACAGGTATCCACTGGCTAGTGTTAAATAAACCAGTGCCTTGCATATTTGAAATCACTGTGATTTCCTCTGTCTTTGTTATCCTACCATGCATGGCACTTCTCTTTCAACTGGTGACTACTTGTCTCTTGTACATAAATTCTGGCAGCTCTGAGGATGACTGTGTGTGATTTGGAGGGTCTCTATCTACTTCAAAGAAAGTTTCTTTTATGTCATATAGCCTAACAGACCATTTGTATTAACTAGTTTTTCTTAATTGTGACAAATACTTGAGAGAAAAAGTTTAAAAGAAGGAAAGATTAGCCAGGCACTGGTGGCCACGCCTGTAATCCTAGCTACTCAGGCGCTGAGATCTAAGGATTGTGGTTCAAATCCAAGCTGGAAAGCCCATGAGACTATCTCCAGGTAACCACCAGAAAACTGGAAGTGGCACTATGGCTCAAAGTGGTAGAGCACTAGCCTTAAGCAAAAGAACTCAGGGACAGCGCCCAGGTGGTGAGTTCAAATCTTCACAACTGGGGGAATAAAAATGAACGAAAGATTAGCTGATCAGGATATACTCATGGAGCTGCTGGAGTAGTGTGCAGATGGACTTTAGAAAGATTAGCTGGTTTATGCCTGTAATCCTAACTAATCAGGAGGCTGAGATCTGGGGATTGAGGTTTGAAGCCAGCCCTGGCAGGAAAGTCTGTGAGACTCATATCTCTATTTCACCACCAAAAAAAAAAAAAAAAAAAGAGCCAGAAGTGGAGCTGGGGCTCAAGTGGTAGAGTGCTAACCTTGAGTAAAGAATTAGCTCAAGAGCAGTGCCCCAACCCTGAGTTTAAGCTCTAGGAAAAAAAGAAAAGATTCATTATTTGATTGTATTTCAGAAGTTTAAGCCCATGGTCTGCAAGCTGTTTCTGGGCCATGATAAGGCAGAACATCATGATCGATGGCCATGGTAAAGCAGAGGTGTTCATGGTGCCCAGGACGCAGAGAAAGAATGGGACAAGGAGTACCAACATATCATTCAAGGGCTTACTCCCAGTCAACTCCCTTCAACACATGAACCTGTGGGATATATTTGTTATTTAAAATATGGCCTCCACACTTGGGAAAAATATATCAAACAGTTTTTATGAATCACAGACTTAATTTTATTTACATACATTTGGTTTTTTAAGCTCAGTGTCAAGCATGGTGCTTTGCACATGGCAGATGTTTGGTACAATATTTGAACAGATGATTGTTAATGAATGAAAAGAATCAGTAATATGATAGATATTTATAACTTTTTAATTCACTGAATGAAAAGAATCAGTAATATGATAGATATTTATAACTTTTTAATTCACTGACACTTTCTTCTTTATAAAATTGCATTAAAATCACTCCAGATTCTGAGCTATAACTGCTAAAGCGTGAAATTAAGAATCTCTGGGTCTCACAACTTTCTGTGTAGGACTCTAGTATTTCAATACCTCCAGTATTTCAATAAGATGAAAACTTGTTTAGGGTAGTACATGTCCAATGGAAGAGGCTTGAAATAAAAGTCTTAGGGAACACATCTTCGTAATGCGAACACAAAGGAAAAAGATGGTGTTTAGTTTTCTGTTCTTGACTTTGCCTGTCACTATTGTGGTGATTATTACATAAATCTGGTTTTAACAAGACCTATGATGAAGCCTGAAACACTGACATGCCTTTTTATAAGTTCAATCACACGAAATGACAGTTTTATTTATGTGTAACATATGACATAAGAGTTAAATGGCCTTGCATTGTTAATATGGTTCTGATTAATTGATTTACAATTGCTTTAAAAATGTTCAGTATCTCTTGTATATTTTGAAATTTCACCCCTACCCATCTTACTGGTTAGGGATTGCACAAAAATACAACATTGTATTCTTTGTAATGCTCTTCTCTGGCTGGTGGTTTTCCTCTTTGATCAGGATGTACTGATGGAGCTGCTGGAGCAGTGTGCAGATGGACTTTGGAAGGCAGAACGCTATGAGTTGATTGCCGACATCTATAAACTCATCATCCCCATTTATGAGAAGCGGAGGGATTTTGAGGTATCTCGATTTTTGGCTTTATGTGCAAGGACAATGGGATGACATGTTCCAGATCCACTGCAAGAAGGGCAAACAGGCTTTGGTTCATTGATAACCATGGTCTTTGACTTTACACATTCCACCAAAAGAGATCACCAGGCACCACACCTAAGAGTTATTAGGCATTACATATATGTGGGGTGGCCCCACCTCTACACAGACGTCCCCACATCTCAAACTACAAGATTTCTGCCCCAGCACTTCACTTCAAAAGGTCATCAAAAGAAGAGCATTGTAATCAGCAAGTGCCCTTTTCATCAGAGGTCCACCATTGCCCTTAGCACGTAAAATGGAGTAGGAATAGTAGGAGTAGGTGGTATCAGGGCCCGCTCCAAAATCTTGTATTAACTTGAAAATAGAATTTGCTTACCCATCATATGGAAGTTCAATGGGTCCTCATAGGCTGGCTGGCTTTTTGAGTAGGAAGCAGTGCAGCTAATATTGGTTGCAAGTTACGAAGTCAAAATACATTCTTGCTTTTTTTTTTTTTTTTACTTATGGTCAAGGAATTTTCACCTACTTTCTCACGTTTAGTTGTCAATTTAAAATTGATTCAGCTACTTACAAATGGGATGACATGGGTTCTGTTCTGCTTTTCAGAGGCTATCCCATCTGTATGACACACTACACCGGGCTTATAGCAAAGTGACTGAGGTCATGCACTCAGGCCGCAGACTTCTGGGAACCTACTTCCGGGTGGCCTTTTTTGGACAAGTGAGTCTTCCCTCAATTCTGTAAGCTGTCCTAAGTCCTTTTTTTTTTTTTATAAAGTAACAATATCTTATATTTTTCTGTTCTATAAATGCTAATTTGATAAATTTGTCATATTTTGTATGGTTCTTATCTTCCTCCATAGTAAACTTTCTGCTTTTTTTTCTTTTCTTTCTGTCTTTTCTTTATTACTTTCTTAAGGCAGCGGTAAGTTCTTTCTTCTTAAGATCTTAACATGCTTAGCAGCATCTTTGGTACTTCATTGTGGTTTGCAAGTTTCCTTTTCAAGTGTGTATGTATTTTGTCCAGTCATTACAAATTCCAAAGAGAAAATTAACATTGTATTTCATCTACAGAAATAAATCATCTGTTTCCTTATACATCTGTATTGCATGTTTTAAACCAAAATTAAGACTTTATGGTTTCCTTTGTTTCTGTGCATCTTTATCTTTTGTTAAAATAATATCTCTATGAGTATATTTGTCATTGTAATATTTGAGAAACCTTATATGAGAGTTTATTTAAATTTAACTTAAATTTTAACCTTCAAGCTCTAACATTATTAAATGGTACAAGTTATAGTCCATTTATTTAGAGTGGGTGGTTTTCTATGAGCATTATATAACCTTCAATTTATTCTGTTATTGTCTTTTATAACTTTATAGCAATACCAGTTTACAGACAGTGAAACAGATGTGGAGGTAATTATAGTAAATGCCTAAAAGCAAGTAATGTAGTGAAATTATTGCATCTAAACTCCTGGTTTGATGTGGATTTTTTTTTGTTTCATCTTATCCTATTTTGGTTTTTTACATATATGATTTTTGTACCCTTTTCTCTTTTATTTTAGATGAGAAACTTTTTAAATTTTTATTTCAAATATTAACCCCAACTGGACTTTTTAATATTCAACCTTTTTCACTTCCCATACAGTTTGAAGCCTTATGGTCAAATGTGATTGGTGCTAAACAATATATATTCTGCTATTGTGCAACAGACCTTTAATACTTTTCTCATCAGTACATCTACATAGAATTTATTCAAACTGTGATTTTTGCTCTACCAACTGTAGACCCAAATGCTTCAGGTCATGCTGTAAAACCTTGTGTAAATGGAAGATGTCAGGAGAGGGACATGTGTGCATTTCTGAGGCCTGACTGTCTTAAGCTGCTAGTCATTCTGAGTTCTGCTTCCTGGGAATGTGAAACAGGCTTGACTGTCATTAGATTTCACTGAGAGCTCATAGTCTTGAATCCAACTCTTTCATTTCACTCAATACTTAATGACAACATTCTCAAATAAGCTTGCGATTTTATGTTTTTCCTTTATCTTGGCACCCAAACTCCACATTCTTACCATTTTCTTTCCTATTTAGACAGCCTGTTTAAATAGGATTTATTTTAGAATCATTCCTTGTGGTTTTTGTTTGTTTGCTTATTTGGTTTTTTCACCTTTGTAACAAAAAAATCCCTTCCTGGATAGTAAGCCTTGGGCTAATATTCAGGGCCAACACTAATTATGCTTTATGTCACAGGGATTCTTTGAAGATGAAGATGGAAAGGAATATATTTACAAAGAACCCAAACTCACACCTCTGTCTGAAATTTCTCAGAGACTCCTTAAACTTTACTCAGATAAATTTGGTTCTGAAAATGTCAAAATGATTCAAGATTCTGGAAAGGTATGACTATTTACAGATAAATTTCATATCAATGAAATACTGTTTTGACTAATCACATATTATTGATTATACAATATATATTCATAAATTTATTTTAAAAAATTAAGGACAGTCTTTAATAGTTGTTACATTTTTGTGCTTTTCATTACATGCTTGATATTAAGTAAACCTTCACTATATAATTGTTAAAGTATCTTCTTTTAGCCAGATATGGTATGTACCTCTAATCCTAGCACTCGAGACGCAGGAAGGTCATGAGTTCAAAGCCAGCCCAGGCTACACAGAATTTCAAGCTAGCTGGGAGCTATATAGAGAGAGACCCTATCTCAACAAAAACAAAAAAGAATGTAAAAAGTATGGGTAGGAAGTAGCATCTTCTATTACAAAATAATTAAAATCTGAAGAGATTTTGCTATATTTAGCCCCAATACTTAGGAACTCTGAGAGAGCAAAATTCCAAGGTTCTGTTCCACACTGCCCCTTTCTTCTGCATTGAGCACAGTATACAAGCCTTGCCTTATTCTGTATTTGCTGATGGATGAATGGACAAATTGGCAGACCAAGGAACTGACTACTAGCCAGTATGACTGAGAAGACTACTTCCTGTTTAGAGTGGTTATCCTCTGGTATTTGGCTCTCAGGAGGACCCTTTCTAAATCTCCATCATTGTCCTGAAGAATAAGCCAACCTATTCAGCACATCTCTAAGAAGCTGGTGTCCCTCCCCTTCCCTCAAAACATTTCACTGATGGGCATGGTAGCACCTACCTATATCAGTAATCTTACTACTCAAGAGGCTGATGAAAGATGGTCCTGAGTTCAGGGCTGGCCTAGGCTACATGGCGAGACCTTGTCTTGCTGGTTGACCTCTGTTCCTGATCAAGATGCATTGCACTCATAAGTTGCTATGTTAAATTGAAACTTCTATGTATAACTACTTAAAGATAATTTTTAATATTTTTTTATCTTCAAGTAGTTATACAAAGGAGTTGCCATTCACCAAATCAGTTTATGAATATAGAGCAACTTGATCATGGTCACCCCTTTCAACATTCTTACCCACCCCTCCCTTTCCCTTACTTATCTTAATTTTGGATTACATATTCGATTTTTTTGCCTTTTAACAAAGCAGTTTATATATGCAGTGCATCTTGATTTTGATCATCACTTCAAAGTCTTCATCCCCTTTCAACCTACCCCTTCTCTTATATTTCTCAATTCTGTGGTATATACAATGAATTCTTGCATGCTCCCCTCTTCCTTGCTTCATTCTTCTGTCCCTTTCCCCTTGGCCCCACCTCTTGCAGTTATCTATTTTTTGTACTTATTTTATTGGGCTTTCATTTAGTCTTGTTGAAGAACTGTACTATTTGTACTCTCCATATAGTCTATTTTCTTTGTTAATTCATTTGTAACCACTTGCTTACCACCCAGTGTGTTTACGTTTTTAATATTTAAAAAAAAAATACCTCTGGTACTCAACTCTCCAGCACTAAGAGCCCTGCCTATTTCTAAGGGCTCCTTTGAATGGTCTGCAATCCTTTGTCTTGCCCAAACCCACAGTCTAGAATCTGTTTCCCTTTCTCCAGAGAAGAATACTTCAGTCTCCTAATACTTCAGTTTTCTGCCCAAGTTGATAGGGAGCTAGGTAGGGAAGAGAGAAAAAAGATGCAGGGTTCTGGATGCAGTAGAGGAGAGAAGAGGCCCAAACTCAGTCTACAGCCTCTCACTTAGCCACCCTTGTTCCACCCTCTCTATGCCTTGTCTCTGCCTTCCACTGACACTAATGGACCTACTTTGAATCTCCCCAGAGCAGTTTCTCCAGGAGATGACTTGTTTCTGTGGGATAGGGACTAGGTAAAGGAACTCAGAGTTTCCAACTCCAAGTACAGCCTTTGGTCTGTTTTCCTCCTCACACCTTATATGATCACTCTGATTCTAGGGAGTGCAAGTGCTGCTTTTCCTTGAGTTTCTGAAAGGTGCACTGACTCCACTTATTTTTCTAGCCATGGGGTCATAACACTCTACCCCGTCAGGTAGCACATCTCCACATGCCTGTCTTCTAAAAATTCGTTAAAATCTCTCATTCAGGGGCTGGGAAGGTGGCTCAGTGGTAGAGTGCTTGCCTTGCATGCATGAGGCCCTGGGTTCAATTCTTTAGCACCACATAAGCAAAAAGAAAAAAACCAGAAGTGGCGCTGTGGCTCAAGTGGTAGAGCACTAGCCTTGAGCTGAAAAGCTGAGGGACAGCGCCCAGGCCCAGAGTTCAGGCCCCATGACCGGACCCAAAAAAAAAAAAATCTCTCATTCACTATTTTCTTATCCTCCTTCCTGGGTCCTTGTGGGTTAATTCTCAGTGTAATTTTAACAGAGTTGCATGAAGAGAAAGAGATTAACGCATGTTTTAGAAAGCTCATCACAACCTTATTAAGACCCACTTACTCCATAGATTAAATTTCTCAGGTCCACTTTGCCTTCTTTTTTCCTCCAAAACCAAAACCCTTGTCTGGATCAAATATTGATTGAGAACATTACAACCTTTTCTCCAGGGTCATAATAATTCTTCTATCCTCTTTTATATATGCATCTTTTTGTATAGCAACTTAAATAGTTAAAGAGTTCTTTTCCAACTACCCTCTTCACTCCCCTAACACAAAGCACCATGCTTTACTCTTGCTCCTAGAATATGAAGAGCAGAGAAATAACACCAAAAACCAGGCAATGAGGTTTCATGTTCACTGACTGAAAGTGTGTCTCCTTGAGAAAGCAAAACTTTGGTAGGTTTGAATAAAGTTAAAATAACTAACTGGGCTCAATAGCTTAAGCCTGTAGTTCTAGCTACTTGGGAATCAGCGATTGAAGATCATAGTTCAAGGCCAGCACAGGCAACAAAAAGTTCACAAGACTCCATCGCAACTAATGCCTGGACACAGTAGTGAATGCTTATCATCCCAAGACACTAGGAAGCACATAGTCCATGCAAGACCCTAACTAAAACAATAACATATGTAAAAGGGGCTACCAAAGTGGCTCAAGTGGTAGAGTACCTGCCTAGCACCAGTGAGGCCCCAAGTTCAATTTCAGTACCACCACCAAAAAAAAAAAAAATTGTAATGATTAGCCACCTGGTTTTGTCTAAATAAGAATAACATCCTTTGACTTTATTTTCTTGCCTTCTAAATATAAAACATTCTCACATTTATTTTTACTTTTCTTCACAAACATCTGTTATAACAGTGAAACATCTTGTTCTCATTCACTAGCCCATGCTGTTACAAGTTCTTGGCACAGCCATTTCTTCCATATCCATTTTCATTACTCTCAAAGGTTAAATATAATTAAGGTAAAATTGATTTGTCTCTCTAGTAAATTAGCTTTTGTTTCTCTATGGAAAATATGATTTTCTATCACATCACAGACACGAAAACACCAGCAGTTCTCACAGCATAGCTGTGAAATTAGTCTCAGACTATTCTTTACCTGCTTTAAATTAACCAGAAGCTATTTGCATCTAATCTGATTTGATTACAGATTAGTGATCAATTGGGGGCCTTTCAGTCATATTCCTAAAAAACATTTTTAAGCCAAATATATAAAAATAAGGTTTTGAAAAGAAAAAAAATCTGGACTTGATGGAATAGGGAGTCATGAACAAGAAAACTATCAGGGTTTCTGTAAAAAAAAATTAATGTTATGAGAGGGAAATAGGGAAATTCTAAATTAATCAAGAATAAATAAAATGGAAGTGGTGCTGTGGCTCAAGCTGTAGAGCGTGTGCCTTGAGCTGAAGAGCAGAGGGACAGCGCCCAGGCCCAGAGTTCAAGCCCCATGACTGACCAAAAAACAAACAAACAAAAAATGAAACAACTAAATAAGAAGTGTATTCATTGTTAAGATTCTGTTTCAAACACAGCTTTATAGTTATAACATTACAAATTACATTCTAGGCACATATATGTATATACATGTGCATAAATACGTGGTTTATGGATTTTAAAAACATACTCATATAACATACACTGTTAGCAATGTTTGTCTTAGTGTTAAGTATGTGGGCATTCCCTGTATCATTTCTTCCAACCTTTCTAAATTTTTCCAAAATATTAACTAATAAAAATTTGACGGGCTGGGAAGGTGGCTCAGTGGTAGAGCTCTTGCCTTGCATGCCTGAGGCCCTGGGTTCAATTCCTCCGCACCACATAAGCAAAAAGAAAAAAGCCAGAAGTGGCGCTGTGGCTCAAGTGGTAGAGCGCTAGCCTTGAGCTGAAGAGTTGAGAGACAGCGGTTCAGGCCCCACGACCAGACCCAAAAAAAAAAAAAAAAAAGAATATTTTAGCCGGGCACTGGTGGCTCACGCCTGTAATCCTAGCTACTCAGGAAGCTGAGATCTGAGGATCATGGTTCAAAGCCAGCCCGGGCAGGAGAGACCGTGTGACTCCTATCTCCAATAAACCACCAGAAAACCGGAAGTGGTGCTGTAGCTCAAGTGGTAGAGCGCTCGCCTTGAGCTGAAGAGCTGAGGGACAGCGCCCAGGCCCAGAGTTCAAGCCCCACGACTGACAAAAAAAAAAAATTTGGAAGCCAGGTGCCAGAGGCGCGTACCTGAACCACATGGGAAGCTGAAATCAGGAAGATCGCAGTTGCAGGCCAGCCCTGACAGAAAAGTCTACCTTGGAAAAAGCCTGAAGGGAAGAAGCTGAGTGTGGTAGTGGGGACCTGTCATCCCAGCAGGGACAGGAAATGTAAACAGGCAAAATGTGGTCTATACATGCACCTGACAAAAAGTAAGATCCTGTCTCAAAAACATCCAGTTCAAAAAAGGACTAGAGACAGGTCTCAACAGTAGAATCCCTGCCTAGTAAGCACCAGACTCAGCAAACCCCTGTACACAACAACAGCAAAAGCTGGAAAATGCAGCTTAGCTAAAGTTTGAGAGATTCTTATAAATAACCCTCATTTCTGCTGTTCACTTATTCACTTAAAGGTCAACCCTAAGGATCTGGATTCCAAGTATGCCTATATCCAGGTGACTCATGTCGTCCCATTTTTTGATGAAAAAGAACTACAGGAAAGAAAAACAGAGTTTGAAAGATCACACAACATTCGGCGCTTCATGTTTGAGATGCCCTTCACCCAGACTGGGAAAAGGCAAGGTGGGGTAGAAGAGCAGTGCAAACGGCGCACCATCCTAACAGGTATGCCACCCCTCCTCCCCACCCCCATGCCAAGATGAAAGTACTGTGTTCCAAAACTTCAAGAATTGGAATGGCCATTTGTTACTTTAGTTAGCTTCTTCTACTCTCATTATGGATTTTTTAATTTTTTTAATTTTATTTTATTGTTATAAAAGTGATATACATACAGAGTAATTTCAGTTATATAAGTTTAATATAGTTTTATTATGGAATGCTCATGACATTTTTATGGTTATCTGTTTATACATTCTTCTTCCTCCACACCAGTTTACATCCAAGGTAAGGTTATTTGCCCTTTCTAAAATCTGTGGAAAACAATGGCCCTTAATCTGCCCAGAGACTTTTGCACACCCATTTTAGGTGATTTTGATTTTGGATGCCCCTTTGAAACCCACATGCTCCTTTCCCAACTGTGTCCCCCAGGTTGGGAAGCCCACCTAAGAGGTGTCTCTCTAACCTGTACAGAACAAATTTGCTTAGTAATTTCTGCTTAATGCATAAGTAGGATGTTTGGCTGGCTCCCTTCTACCTCACACAGCTGACATCAGCTACCCAACTTCAGCCCAGATACCTCCTGGACAGGAAGCTCACTGCATTCAGAAGCCACCTCAGCTGAAACAATCTTAATTGACTTTGGGGGTGATTTTTACATTCTTTAGGAAAGGTAAATGCATCCATCCATAGGTCAGGCTCAACAGCCTAACTAGTGTAAACTAATAGCGAGTCACTATCTTTACAAAAAAAAAAAAAAAAAGAGCTGTTCTAGTGTCAGGCATTTCAAATACAGCCATCATTTGGCACATTTTCCAGAGAGTAGCCTTTGTTAAGTACAACCAGGAAAACAGCCATTCCCCCCCACACACACACACCCTCCTCCTGCCACCTATCCTTATTTAGAGGTTGACGTTGACATTTCCCATCCAGTAAGATTGTAGAAATTGTAATTACACAATCATAAGGGAAAGTAACACTATTAAGATGCTGCATTTCAGTGGTTTTCAGCTCTCATATGTGAACTTACACTTCTAAGTAAGTGAATTATATGGTGTGTAATTTGTATCTCAGTAAAGCTGCTACTAAAATATGTCAGTATTAAAAAAACTCACGTCCAGATATTGCTATGAATTTTTCACCTGCCCTATGTGAAAAATGAGATATGTTTAATGTGTTGAAAAACGAACTTTACAACAAAGGAAGAGGCAACAATGCCTGATAAGAAATGTACTCATTACCTTGCCCATGTAATTGTAATCCCTCTGTACGATATTTTCACAATTAAAATAAATAAATAAATAATCCTAAAGCATTCTTAGTTCTACTGTCAGAATATGATAACATGTAGCACAAACAATATTTTCCTCAAAAATGTTAGCTCCTCCCTTGTGTGAATCCATTTTTTAATGCACATCTCAATGGCAAATTAACTGTTTCAAATATTTGATGGAGATTCCCAGCAGATAGTATTTGTCTATACCATGATTTCACTTTTGATTCTTTAAATCAGTAGTTTGATCAAAGCTGCTTCCAGGATCAGCAACATCAGCAGCTCCTAGGAACTTGATAGAAATGAAAATTCCCAGGTCCTAGTGTTAAACCTGCTGAATCAGAGAACAGGAGTTGGCCATTGTGCTAACGAAGCACAACAGGGATTCTGATGCATGCTCCAATTTGAGAACTGTGCCTTACAAAGCATCAGGATTTTGTATCATAATTATTGTTGAGATAGCATACTGTTTCATGACATAAGGTATTTTCCCAGAACATATATCCTCATGGTTACAGTTTATATTTGTTATAGAACTAGTTTAGATTAGATAATGGATATGACTATCAGAACCAAGGGACAAAGAGTAACTGCCCAACAGAGTGGCAGAATAGACCAATACTTGTCTGTTCTGGGAACAATGACTTTCTGCAGAGAGTCTGACCTGAGGCTCAGAACCTCACTGTGTCAACTTGGGCAGATTGCTCAACCTTCTCAACCTCTAACTAATTATGCTAAATAATGTTATAAATTGTAACCAAGAGGGGAAAGAATATTCTTGATTTTGCTGTTGTGCTTCTTGCCTTTTAGGGATGATGGTGGGCAGAACAAAGGGTGTTAGTGTTGTCCTGGAATATCTTGAAATGTTGAAAAGATAGCTATTAGGCAGAGTAGAGTTAGAGAAAGAATGATAAATATACTATTGAAAGCATATAAGTTCTAAATCAACCTTTAAAGGGCCTTTTACAGACTTTGAACTTGAGAGTTTTCCCTTAAATTGTTAAATCTCCTCGATTCTTCCTACAAGAATCAAACCTGTTGCTTCAAACCTGATCTTTGGCCTTATAGGATATAAGGGAGCCCTGACCTTCCCTGCCTTTCATTCCAGCAAAGGCTCACTTTCCTAGAGAGTTGCCAATCAGGTGATTGCCATCATGTCAGCATTTGAAAACCTTCATGATCAGCCTCTACCTTCCCTGGGTGAATCTGAGCCTACCTTTTCTTCTTTCCTGGGGCTTCTGACAATGAGTTTCTTCCCAGTCACTGTTCCAAGGTCTTCCACATTATGCCCAGATTCCACTGAGTTTGGAAATTTCCACCTGTCCCACTCCTTATAGTCACTCTGAGTTCTCCCTCCAGTCACCAATTCCTGCCACGGATCATTCCTGTGGGCTACATATCAAAAAAAGTAGGGCTTGCTTTGGTGGTCTTCGAGCTTTCTATCTTCTCCCATTTGCACTTACATATGTGGTCTCCAGATCTGTAATACATTCATTTACCCAACAAGGCATATTGAGCCCTCACCATTTTGCAACTGGCATACTGGCCAAAAAAGGTCTGTGGCCCCATGCAGCTTTTATCCCAGCAAGAGGAGAAGACAATGGAAGGCCATATAAAGGGACATAGCAAGGAGGGGGGACCAAGATGGCGACGGGGCAGTAGGGAAACGCCACAGCTCTCTCCAACCAAAAAGAGAGTTCGAGTTCCAACGCTTAATCTCCCCAAGAGACCGACAACAACAAAAAGACGAACACTCAGAGAAAAACCAGAGGTGGAAAATAACAAAAAAAGAAAGAGAAGAAAAGAAT